CTAAGCGAAAGTCGGACGCTTAACCGACTAAGCCACCCAGGCTTAGTCTCTCAGAAATAAATAAAAACATTAAAATTTAAAAAAAGAAAGAAATTTTACCTTCATTTATTCCTTCTCTAATGCTCTTTTCTTAATGTAGATCCTAGTATCTGACCTATGTCATTTTTCTTCTTTCTGAAGAATTTCTTTTAACACTTTTTCCCAAAGCAGGGCTACTGGCAACAAAGTTCCTCAATTTTTGTTGTTTGAGAAAGTCTATTATTTCTCCTTTACTTTTGAAGGAAAATGTAGCTAGATACAGCACTCTAGTTTTGTGGCTTTTTTCTTTCAACACGAATATCTTTTTCTGCTCCCGTGCTTGCATGGTTTCTGAGGAGAAGTCCAAGGTAATTTTATCTTTATTTCTTACTGGTTTTTTTTTAATTTTTAATGTTTTATTTATTTCTAGGAGAGAGAGAGAGAGACAGCATGAACAGGGGAGGGTCAGAGAGAGAGGGAGTCACAGACTCTGAAACAGGCTCCAGGCTCTGAGCTGGCAGCCAGCACAGAGCCTGACGCGGGGCTCGAACCCACGAACTGAGAAATCATGACATAAGCGAAAGTCGGACGCTTAACCGACTAAGCCACCCAGGCGCCCCTATTTCTTACTGTTTAAACTCATTTTTTTCCCCCTCTGATTTCTTTCAAGATTTTCTGTCTTTAATTTTCGTCAGTGAGAATGTGATATGCCCAGGAATAGATGTGTGTGTGTGTGTGTGTGTGTGTGTGTGTGTGTGTGTGTGTGTTTCCTGCCTGGTGTTCCCTGAGCTTCCTGGATCTGTCATTTGTTATCTTTCATTAATTTTTGAAGTTTTCAGTCGTTATTGCTTTAAGCGTTTTCTGTTCCTTTCTCGCTTCTCCTTCTGGTCTCATTCCGCAGGTGTTACACCTTTTGAAATAGTCACAGGATTTGTGGATATTCTGTTCTGTCATTTTCATTCCTTCTTCTCTTTGTATTTCAATTTTGGAAGTTTCTCTTGACATTACTTCAAGCTCCTTGATTCTTTTCTTGGCCTTGCCTAGTCTACTGATGAGCCCATCAAAGGCATTCTTGACTTCTGTCACAGTGTTCTTGATTTCTCACATTTCTTTTACCTTCTTAGAGTTTACATCTCCCTGCTGACATTATCCATCAATTCGTTCATATTGTCCACTTTTTCCATTAGATCCATTAGCATAGTCATCATAGTTGTTTAAAATTCCCAATTTGATGGTGCCTGGGTGGCTCAGTCAGTTGGGGTCTGACTCTTGATTTCAGTTCAGGTCATGATCCCAGGGTCATGGGATCGAGCCCTGTGTCAGGCTCTTCGCTGAGCATGGAGCCTGCTTAAGATCCTCTCTCTCTCCTTCTGCCCCTCTCCCCTGCTTACATTTTCTCTCTATATCTATAAATAAAAAAATAAAATAATGTGAAAAATTAAAAATTTCAATTCAATAAATCCAACATCTCTGCCAGATCCAAGTTTAGCTCTGATGCTTGTTCTGTCTCTTCAAACTGTTTTTTTGTCTTTTAGTATGCGTTGCAATTTTGTTTAGGTTTATTTATTTTGAGAGAGAAAGAACCAGGGGGGAGGGGCAGAGAGAGAGGGAGACAGAGGATCCAAAGGAGACTCTGTGCTGACAGCAGAGAGTCCAATGCGGGGCTTGAACTCATGGACTGTGAGAGCACAACCTGAGCTGAATTTGGATGCTTAACCAACTGAGCCACCCAGGTGCCCCACAGTATACCTTGTAAGTTGGATATGATGCATTGTATAGAAGAAACTGAGGTAAATAGGCCAATAGCATGAAATTTTGTTTATCTTGCCAGGGCTTAGTCCATGTTTATTATTTGTTATGGCCATAGGTGTCAAAGGCAAAATATTCCTCCAGTGCCCTCAATTTGTCTTCCTTGTTGTCTTTGGGTTTTCCTAGAAACTTATTATTATTATTATTTTTTTAAGTAGACTTCATGCCCAGCATGGAACCCAATGTAGGGCTTGAACTCATGAACCTGAGATCAAGACCTAAGCTGAGATCAAGAGTCCAATGCTTAACCAACTTAGCCACACAGATGCCTCTAGAACCTCTTCTTTTAAAAAAAAATTTTTTTTAAACGTTTTATTTATTTCTGAGAGAGAGAGACAGCGTGAGAAGGGGAGGGTCAGAGAGAGAGGGAGATACAGAGTCTGAAACAGGCTCCAGGCTCTGAGCTGGCAGTCAGCACAGAGCCTGACGAGGGGCTCAAACTCACGAACCGTGAGATCATGACCTGAGCCAAAGTCGGCCGCCCAACCGAGCCACCCAGGCACCCCTAGAAACTTCTTAAGTTTGTTCTGAGATGGGCAATTCTTTCACTTGTATCCCGTTTATATACATTTTTATACAGGACCCCACTAATGTGGCGGAAAGGTGTGGAGAGAGGGGAGGGCTAGAGGGGGCTAGAGTTAGGTATTTCTTTTCCTCCAGGTGTGTTAGGCTCTGATAAAATCCCAGCCGATTTGGAATCTGGAGCTTAGTTTCTTTTGAGAGCAATCCTTGTAAAGAATAGAATGCTCTGGGCCATATTTCAAAATGGCCACTTCACACCTTCCTGCTGGGACCACAAGGGGATTTTTCCATCTTTCTTCGTCACGAGAATCTGCTAGGGCTCCTGGAGGTTAAACTCACAAAGGTCCTTTAAGATTGGACCCCTGTCCCCTGAACTTTAAAAAAAATTTTTTTTAATATTCATTTATTTTTGAGAGAGAGACAGAGTGTGAGTGGGAGGGGCAAAGAGAGAGGGAGACACAGAATCCGAAGTGGGCTACAGTCTCTGAGCTGCCAGTACAGAGCCTGCGGGACGCGGGGCTTGAACCCACCAACCTTTTGGCCTTCCAGCTCTTTGTCTTTCCCTGGAATCCCTGGAATTCTGTGGGCAGTTCAGGCCAGCCACATATTTGAAGTTTATAGCTTTCAACTAACTCCTCACTTCCAGAGGCTCCAAACTTCACTGTGTTGCCCCCCTCAGTTTCCAGCTGCAGGGTCCGTCCCAAACTCCGTCCTCTGCCTTCTACGGCCAATAGGACTGTGGCTTCCTGACTGGGGTCTGGCTGACTAGAAGAGAGCCCTCAGGGAAAAAGCATTTTTTTTTTAATATTTTTATTTCTAGGAGAGAGAGAGAGAGAGAGACAGCGTGAGCAGGGGAGGGTCAGAGAGAGAGGGAGACACAGACTCTGAAATAGGCTCCAGGCTCTGAGCTGGCAGTCAGCACAGAGCCCGACNTTTTCAACTTTTCTTCATCAGTTGTTCTATAGTAGCACTAGGAAGCTGTGGCACTGGCCAGTTTACTTTAAAAAAAAAAAACTTCTATGGGGACAAATTAAAATTCTGTCAGTTAAAACTATATGGCAAATTGACTTTTAAGAAATTACTTTCTTGGGATATACAATATAGTAGAACATATAGGGTTTTTTAAAAAATATTTTTATTTATTTCTAGGAGAGAGAGAGAGAGATAACGTGAGCAGGGGAGGGTCAAAGAGAGAGGGAGACACAAGACTCCGAAATAGGCTCCAGGCTCTGAGCTGGCAGTCAGCACAGAGCCCGACGCAGGGCTCGAACCCACGAACCGCGAGATTATGACCTAAGCGAAAGTCGGCCGCTTAACCGACTAAGCCACCCAGGCGCCCCCCCCCTTTTTTAAAATATTTTTATTTAAGCACTTCTTTTTAAAAAGTTTTATTTATTTTGCGAGAAAGAGAGCGTGCTAGTGGAGGAGGGGCAGAGAGAGAGAGAGAGAGGAGAGAGAGAGAGAGGAGAGAGAGAGAGAGAGAGTCCTAAGCAAGCTCCTTGCTCTCAGCATAGAGCTTGACACAGGGCTCGATCTCACAGTTGTGACCTGAGCCAAAATCAAGAGTTGGATACTTAACCAACTGAGCCACTCAGACGCCCCAAGCAGCCCTTCTTTCAAGAGCTGCCTTCGTCCAGTTTGTCTGCTTTTTGTTCTCCATTGTTTCCAGGTAGTTGTTTCATATATTTTGTCCACATTTCATAAAGCGGAAGGTTCTCTTTTGGGTTTTTTTAAAATGTTTTTTAAATTTTATTTATTTCTGAGAGAGAGAGAGAGCAGGGGAGGGTCAGAGAGAGAGGAAGACAAAGAACCCGAAGACAGGCTCCAGGCTCTGAGCTAGCTGTCAGCACAAAGCCTGACGTGAGGCTCGAACCCACAAACCGTGAGATCATGACCTGAGCAGAAGTCGGATGCTTCACCGACTGAGCCACCCAGGCGCCCCGACCTTTCGGTTTTTGAATCTGCAATCCGTATCATCTATTCAAGAAGTGAACTATTAAAATAAACCAGCTTACAAAATTGGATAGTAAGACCTACTGTAAAGGCAGAGGATTATCTGACCTTAATTCAGAGGATGCCTTTTAAAGTCAGAGTGTAAAGGGGCGCCTGGGTGGCTCAACCCGTTAAGCCTCCGACTTCGGCTCAGGTCATGATCTCATGGTTCTGACAGCCAGCTTAGAGCCTGGGGCCTGTTTCAGATTCTGTGTCTCCCTCCCTCTCTGACCTTCCCCTGCTCATACTGTCTCTCTCTCAGAAACAAATAAAACATTAAAAAATAATTTTTTTTTAAGTCAGAGTGTATGAGGGGCGCTTGGGTGGCCCAGTTGGTTAAGTGTCAGACTTTGGCTCAGGTCATGATCTCACCGGTGTGTGGGTTCCAGCTCTGAGCTCCGTGCTGGGCTCTGTGCTGATGGCTCGGAACCTGGAGTCCGCTTCAGATACTGTGTCTGCCTCGCTCTCTGCCCCTTCCCCACTTGCGTCCCGTCTCTCTCTCAAATAAATAAACATTAAGTCAGGGTGTTGAGCTCAAGCAAACTTGACACAGGCCCCACCCCCACCAGGAGCACCGTCTCTCGGGCACCGCAGACCACGCCACGCCGCACGCCACGCCCCCCTCGCGCGAGCCCGTTTCCATGGCTACGCGGCACAAGGCAGGAGGCAGTCGAGCCACCAAGTGGGCGTGCAGCGACGGCAGAGGCGGCGGCAGCGGCGACATGATCGCGGGGGTGGCGGCGGTCGGGCAGCCGCCCCCCAGTTCGGGGCTCCCGGGCTCCCGGGGCGCGTCGCGCCTGCGTCCGCCCGCCATCCTCCAGCCGGGACAGCCCGCCACGCAGGTTGGGCTCAGCGAGGCGCAGAAGCGGATCGTGGACCTGGAGAAGAGCCTGCAGTTCCTGCAGCAGCAGCACTCGGAGACACTGGTCAAGCTCCACGAGGAGATCGAGCACCTCAAGCGGGAGAACAAGGGTGAGTCTGGGAGGCGCGGCCGCGAGTGGGGCGCCTTCCGCGCCTGGGGCCCGAGGGAGACGCAGACCTGCCGCCCCCGGATGCCTCCAGCACCAAAACACTCGTGGACTCTGGAACACGCAGGGTTTAAGGACACAGGGCAGCAAGCCCCACCCCGGGCCCTGCCACGTGGGTCTTGGACTCCCCGCCTCCCCCCTCCCCCTGCCCCAAACCTGGGTCGTCGTGGGCGGGGTCAGCGGGACCGCCCCACCATCTCATGGGGTGGCCTGGCTGTAGCGTTTCCCGCAGTAAGCAGTCTCCTCTCCAGGCAGGTCGGGCCTGCCTGTTCTAAAAAACTTTACGGAAGCAAAAAGTGCGAGTGTACAGCTCAGTGATTTTCACAAACTAAATACAGATCAAGAGGCGACTGCCATTCCCATCCAGCCCCCCCCTGGATACCTCCCCATGCCCCCCCCACCCCCCATCCCCGTCTCCCCAGGGCAGGTCCTTCCTAACTTTGCCCCGCTGGTGGCTCCTCACCGCCTTGGGTCAGGCCTGAAGCAGAAGTTAAGGCCAATCAAGGTGGGACCCTGCTGCCCTCTCTCTTCTCTCTTCTGCTTTAGTCGGAGCTCCTCCCCCTACATGCTTAGTCCTGTATCAGTTTCTCCCCACCTTTCTCCTGTTGCCTTTGTCTGAAGTGCTAGTAGATTAAGGGGTGACCATGATGTTAGGACTCCCTTCTCTTGACATAAGGAGTCTTGAATCTCACACCTGTCCCTCCCTGATGCTCAGGCTGGATGTGGCCAGCCCATGTCCTGGGTGTCACTTATCATTGCTCTGATCGCATTTGCTCATCCATAGCTAGGGGCTCCTGGAGAACTGGGTCATCCTGACTCACCTCTGTTCCCCTGAAGCTGGGGCCCCACCTAGCAGAGGGTGCCCTGCAGATGTCATGGACAGAGGAACGGACTTCTGGCAAGGCTCTCACCCAAGGGCTCTGGCTCAGGGAACAGCTAGAGGCATTCCTGGCCCGAAGGCACCCAGGGTAAAGGCCGGGCCCTTGGGGCAGGGTCCTAGCTGCCAAGATCATGTGTGAGGTCTCTCCGGGGTTCAGCAGGGAAGGGAGTGCACAGGGCAAGCCAAAACCTCTTCTCCCAGAATGGCAGCAGTTTCAAAAATGACCAGAGCGTGTGCTTGCTTTCAGATCTCCATTACAAGCTAATAATGAATCAGAGGCCAAAGAAAGGTAAGACTGAGGCCCTTGGGTGCCTGATGGGAAATTACTTATGTCAGGAGTAGCCCCTCCAGAGTGCTTGTGTCTACCCAGCTCGCTGTACTGGCCTATGTACTATCCCAGTGGGGAGGAATCCCAGGGGGACCTGGACAGACACCACTGCCCCGGGCCATGGTGTGGGTGACTGTTCACCCAAGCACAGCAGGTGGGGCTCTCGGGGGTCACAAGGCCTGAAGTCTATAGTAAGGAAGCAGGGAGAGCAGCTGAGGGTTGGGGCTGCCCAGATCCTGCTTCTGTCCCCCCCCCCCCCCCCGGCCTTGCTGCTCTGCTGGATTCTTTTGCTTGGATTGCTGCTCTGGGAGGCCCCAGGCACTCTCTGAAACGCTGGCAAGCACTGGGCAGCTCCAGCCCTGTGGCTCTGGTCCATCACTTCCTGGCACAGATGGCTTCTGGGGATCCTCCTGCCATCTCCACAGTGACCAAGAGGGCTGGGGGAAGGAAGTGGAGACACAGAGACCTGCAGTCACTTGTCTAAGGCCCTTCCTCTTTGCCTGTCCTCCAGCCCAGCCCAGGGAGACTCAGGCTGTCTTGGGCCTGTTCTCCCCACATACTTTTGGGGCCAAGTCTGACACCAGGAAGTGTCTGAGAGGTGTTAGCCTGAAATGCCCCAGTCTGGGGGTGTCCCAGGGCTCCCTTCCTAGGGGACACGGAATATGGGGGGGGGCTTCCTCCAGAGGGGCAGACAGTTCCAGTGAGCTGTCCTGGGCAAGTGGCAGGGCCCGTTAATGATCCCAGTCCTGCTGGGCCCAGGGTCCCCAGCGGGACATCAGAAGAGGCCATCCTCCCATTCAGGGCCTGCTTCTTTGGGCCCAAGCCCACTGCTTTCTGGATGGCCCTTCCAGAAATCACCTTCCTCTCGGCCTTGGTTCTGCGTCACCAGAGTGGGGGAGGGCTCTGCACAAACACAAACACACAAGCCTGTGGGGCCAGGAGGAAAACACGGGTGGTCTGGCCCCTCACCCACAGCGGGGCACAGAAGTGACTGGGAAAGCTGGGACCGTGGTGCTGCTGCTGCCTTCTCAGACTAACCCTGCGTGTCTCCCACAGGCAGCATTTCTACTTCCAGCTTCCAGTCCATCAAGTCCGTCTCAAATTCGACCTCGTCAGGTGGGTATGCCAGCACCCTCAGTGAACTCGGGGTCAGCGGGAGGTGAGCGGGGAGGGGGGGGAAGGCACGTACCCCACCAGGGCCCTAGGCCCTGATGGCCAGTGTGGGGTGCTGACCAGATGACTGGACCTTTGCCAGGCTTTGTGGACTTAAGGGGCAGCTGAAGGGAGACAGGTAGGGTGGCTGCCAGGTGACACTAGCAGGAAGGAGCCAAGGGGGGGTGACAGGACTGTGGGTTGGCCAGAGGGAGACAACAAAAGCCTGGTGGGCTTGGCTACAAAGGGAGTGAACGTCAGATCACCGTGGGGCACAAGGTCCTGTGGCAGGCACACCCTGACATACAAAGAGAGGAGCTCCTGAGCCTCCCTTAGTGGACTTCCAAGGGCAGCCTGGCAGAAGCCCTTGGTCATGTCCCCTTGCAAGCAGGCAGGATGCAGGTGGGACTGGCCCTGCCTAGAGTTTTGGGCTTGTGTCCTCTGCACGGCAAGGGGAGCCAATAGCCTCTTCTCCGCACTCTGCCTCCCTGAGGCCAGGCATCCTCCCCAGGAGCGGCCCTTGCCCCTTCCATGCAGGGCCCAGGCAGGCCGCGGGCCTTGTCCTTGGAAAGGAAGTCTGTGCAGGCCGGGTCCCAGAACACTCGGTTTCATTTTGCCCCAAATGGGGTGCTGCTTCAGAGTCAGGGAACAGCTGTGAGGCCACCCTGAGCCCTGGACCTCCCTGAGGCTTGGGAGACTGACCTAGTACAGGTCAGGCGGGAGCCAGCTTCTAGCGCAGCAGTAGTTTTAGACCACTCAGCAGGCACCACACAGACCCCCTTTCTGGGTCTCCTGGCAGCCCCCACAATGGGACTCTTGTCATCTCTCCTTTGCAAGGAGGAAACTGAGGCAGGGGGCAGGCGCTCCTTGGGCACGCATAGCCAATCCTGGAGGAGTTGGGCACTGGCTCTTGATGCCCACAGTGTGACTGCCCTGTCTGGGTCTGATCTACAGCCAACTCTCAAGGAAAGGCCAGGCCCCAGCCCAGCTCCTCCAAGAAGCAAGACTCGAAAGCTGACGTTCCCCAGAAGATGGACTTGGATGAGGAAACCCCGGCTGGTGCTCTGTTTCACAACAGCAAGCTAGACAAAGCCCCAGGGGTGCGGGGGCAGGCCAAGTAAGGGCTCACCTGCACCCCACGGGCCCAGCGTTGCATTTAGTAGGTTCACATTCTGGAACCAGAGAGCTGCTTTGTCCTTCCAAACGGGTCAGTCAGTCTCCAGAGTGAAAGCAGATTCACTCCAGGCAGGCCCATCTGGTGGCCACTGCCCTGTGCTGACCTGAGCCCACATGAGGGTGCGACAGCAGCCCTGAAACTAATTTCTCACAGAAATGAAACAAAGTAACTTGGCCCTTAAATTAGTTTGCTTTTCACCAAGAGAACAAACAAGTCAAAAGCACAACAATAAGTCGGGTTCCTGGGCTCACCCAGGGAAGTGTGCTTGGCCTCTGCAAGGCACACAGCCCGCAGGCCAGAGCAAGCCCAGGGGTACCACCTGTTTCTGGGACTTCCCTGGAAAGCAGCAGTGAACCTGGACTTGGCATCCAAAGAGACCCTGTTGTCCCCAGGGTAGTGCAGCCAGCAGGACAGGGTCCTGCTTCTCTGCACGGTCCTACTTAGAGCCCCTCTCAACCAGCTCCACAGGTGTGGGGTCAGGACTGAGAGCAGCCACATAGCTTGAGCCACAGCTGACCCTCAGGCACCTTGAGAGGGAAGGGATGGGCCCAGATCACAGCTGGCACCAGAGACACCCCCACCCCCACCACCTGGTGCCCGGAGAACCCTGGTCAGCAGAAGGGAACCAGGAGGCTGTGTGGACACACCCCTCACCCTCACACCAGCCTCATACTGGTGTGGGTGCTGCCCTCCAGAGAGGTGGTGGGTGGTTAGACCAATCCTGGCGGGCTAGCTCTGGGCTGCTGTAGTGCCTGTTCCAGAGATGAAGATGCGGAGACCTCCAATTCAGCAGCCACCTGGGTAGCGGGCAGCCAGCACAAGGGCAAGCAGCCCCCTGCCATGAACCTGCCCCTGCCCCTGCGCAAGCCCACCACACTTCAGCAGTGCGAGGTGGTCATCCGCCAGCTATGGAATGCCAACTTCCTGCAGGCCCAAGAGGTGAGGCTTGGGCAGAGGGGGCCCCGGTGCCCCCGTAGGGCCCGCCCATTGCCTCTCTTCTCTCTGCCTTCCAGTTGCAGCACCTCAAGGCCCTCCTGGAAAGGAACCAGAGGCCCAAGGCTGCATCCGAGGAGGCTGGCCCCAGATCTCCCAAGTGAGTGACCCTGCGTGGCCCCCACTGCATCCCAGTGAGGCTTGCTCCTTTGGGGCTCATTACTGACTCCTCCTTCACCAGGGACCAGGAGGCCCTTCATCAGGGAGCCATGCAGTTCCCCAAGGTCCCCACCAAGGGCATCCCCCAAAAATGGTGAGTCCCACTGGCAGGAGGAGGGTGGGGTGGTTTCCAAGCCCAGTACAGAAGGGGTTGGGACAGCTCAGTACCTTGCCTGGGGCCCCTGCTGCCACCCAAGTCTCTGCTCCTGCTCCCAAGGGCACCTGCAGTGACCTCCCTCTGCCCTACCAGCCTGATTCTGAGCCCCATGCCTGTGGCAGAGCGCTCCATCCTGCCCGCGCTGAAGCAGACCCTGAAGAGTAACTTTGCTGAGCGGCAGAAAAGGCTGCAGGTGATGCAGAACCGGCGGCTGCACCGCTCTGTGCTCTGAGCCGGGTGGCATGTGTCTGCGCCTGCGCAGTGGGTCGGGGCCAGGCCAATGACCTACAGCTGGGGACGCTAATCCTCTCTAGCTAGCACTTCAAAAGAATTTAGGCCAAGCGGAATTCCAGATAGGCAAAACTCATGGCAGATAAAGTACTTGGTTGGTCTCAGAACTGAGAAACTGTTTCTTTTCTTGCTCAGTACTTTGCTATTCTGCATCTACACAAAAACACATTATTAAATAAGTATTACCCTACCTGTTGAAGACTGGAAATAAAGTTCGTTTATTCACTTGTGAGCCTCATCCCTCACTGCTATCCGGCATCGCTGCCCTGCCCTGTGCCCGCAGCTCTGCTCCATGTGGCTTGGTGTGTGTGTGTGTGGGGGGGCACTGGGCAGTCACCAGGGCTTGTCCAGGGCCTGGTGGCTGCCCTGCACCACATGCAGGCATAGCATGCAGTCTTCTCCAAGTGCAGGGGGTTTCCTGGCCCTTGGCTGGGCTGGGTCTGCCTTCCAGGCACAAGGGCAAGTTGCTTTTCCCTGCCACAGTGCTGTCTAGCCTCCACACCAACAATCCCAGGTGATGAGCCATCCTACTGAGCCTGCCTTCCACTATGGAGGGCCACGGCCACGGGAGAACGGTCCTCTCCAGGGCACTGGGGCCCCACCCTGACATTGCCACCCAAGAGCCTCACCAACCCTTCACTCACCAGAACCGCAGCTTCCTATGTCATGGGTGTGGTCAGTTTGGTGTCAACCCTCTTCTGACCCCACTGGCCATCTCCTCAGTGCTAATCTCTGCTTCTTCTTTCTTTGGGCAACAGGAGCTTTGCCAGAAACCTTGGGGTAAACCAGGATGGGGTACTGATACCGCCAAAAAAGGGTGAACTAAGGTCTAGGTGTCCATGGCCATCTCCAAGGTGGGGAGTCTGGCTCAGCCCTGACAGTGTACCTCACTGGACAGTGCTCCCAGACTTCTGGGAGGGGACACAGTGACAAATTCATGACAAACACAGGAATAATAAATTTATTATAAGAACCACAGATGACACGGTAGTGCACATACAAAAGGGGAAACCTTTCATTGCCAGAGGGCTGGTGGGCTGACTCCCTGTCAGGGATCCTTCACTCTCTAGAGTGGCTCTGAGGACACCAGGTCCTGAGGATGCCGCCCTGACCCATGAACAGGCCCAAATGCCCTATGAGTGGGCGTGGTGCCAGGTACAGGATCCACCCAGGTGTCCCTGCTCCCCAGGTACCCCCACAGTGCTGAGCAGACCCCCATGGCTTAAAGGGAGAATGCCAGGAGGTTATGAGGCCCAGGTGATGGCAGAGGATTCCCAACTGCCTGCAGGCCGACTTTCCCTCTGAGATGCAGCAGGTGCCCTTGGATCCAGGAGCTTCCCTGTGGCGTGCCCCACAGGGCAATGGTGGAAGGGTCTAAACCCAAAACTGTGACCAGAGAATTCTGTGTGTGTTTTCACGGTTTCTTTCCTATACCCTCCATGTTCCCCTACAGAAACAAAAAGTTTTCTGGCACATACACAAGAGGCTCTAACAAGACCCTGAGTTCTCCCCCAGGTTACTGAGGAAGGACATGGGCCCTGGAGAAGCCGAGGGGACAGCAGCCCAAGGAGGAGCACACAGGGCTGAGGCCTGTCCGACTCCTGGGGTAGGAGGAGGTCCCAACCCCACCACTGAAGTAGCCAGCTCCACAGCCACCTGCCCCAGTCACGTACAAGTATGAGAAAATGTTTGGCAGGTCCCCAAGGCAGAAGATAAAAGCAGGAAAGCTAATCTAAGCCCAGGCTCTCTATGGGAGCCAACACCTAGAAATGTCCAACATGAGGCGCATGTCCTCTGTGGCCCTGACAAGGCTGCCGGCTACCCCCATGGTCCCCAGTGGGTGGGTGGCTAGGCAGCGGAGAGACAGGCCTGGTGGATGCTCTGCGCCCAGGTGTTGAGCAGGGCTGTGACTGAGTGCTTGTCGGGGAGCTGCAGCAGCCTCGAGGTCATGCACCGGTGCACCGACTGCAGGAAGGGGTTGGCGTCTGCAACAGAGCAGTGAGCCCTGAGTGCCACTGTGCCTTCTGCCAGGACAGCCAGCACTGGGCCTGGCCCTGGGCCACACAAGCAACTCTCTATGAAGGGCTGCCCCACAGACACAGGGCTGGCATCTGGGGCATTCCACCCAGCCAACATGACCAGGATGCCATCTCGCACACATAGCGGGGTGGCCAACACGGTCCTCTCCCAGGCCCATGCGGTAGTGGAGAACTAGAATGTGAACAGGTCTGGAGCCCAGGGCTTTCTCCCAAGGACAGCTTTGGGATTCCAGCCCTATGCACCAGCTGTGCGCTGCAGGGATCACCAACAGGGATCTCTCTGGGCCTCTGGCTTGAAGCCATGATGCCCAGATGGGTCTCCATGAGCCCAAGCTCCTTCTGTACTCCCACATCAGCCTTGCAGAGCCCCACAAAGGCGGCTGGACTTGCTTGCCTCTCACTCACTAAACGTGACTGCCCTGCAGACACAGGATGGACAGCGACCCCTTCTTCCCCAAGTAACTTCTGGGCAACCTACTCCTGTCCAGAAAAGGGCAGCAGAGAAAGGGGAGGAAAGGCGTCACCTGTGGGGCACAGAGGAAATCTTGGTTTCCCGGAGCTGAACCCCCCGCACCCCCACGCCAGGGCCCCTAGGCAGCAGCCATGAGGCCTCCCCACGGCTGTCCTCTCGGCTCACCGTACTGGCACTGCCTGTCAATCCATAGCGGGCTCTGGGCGGGGTAGTCGGCAGGCACACTGAGCTCCAGCGGCGGCACGCTTGGGAGATCCTTGTCATCTGCAACACATGTGGCTGTGCCTGTGACCCAGCCCCGGGCTACCCTGCTTCATAGCCCTGCTCTAAACAGGGCTCTTCTTCTGGGGCGCCTGGGTGGCTTAGTCGGTTAAGCGTCCAACTTTCGCTTAGGTCATGATCTCGCGGTTCGTGGGTTCGAGCCCCGCGTCGGGCTCTGTGCTGACTCTGCCAGCTCAGAGCCTGGAGCCTGTTTCAGTCTGTGACTCCCTCTCTCTCTGACCCTCCCCTGCTCACGCTGTCTCCCTCTCTCTCTTAGAAATAAATAAAACATTAAAAAAATAAAAAAATAAACAAACGGGGCTCTTCATATCCCAAAAGGTTCTGGTGAGGTTTGCTGCAGTGTGGAGGTCCCTGATTCCCGGGCTTCCACATCTCCCTAAGGCCTCCAGCGAGCACAGCCATATCTGGGAGGGAGGGAGGGCTTCTCTGGCAGGCCGGTGAGAGGTTAAGAGTCAGTGGGCCCAGGGCTCTGCCTCAGAGCACATCCCGGGCCAGGTATGTGTGAAGATCCAGGAAGACATGGGGATGGTGGGCTTCAGTGTGTGGTGTGAGCATGCCTGTCTGTGGGAGGCCAAGGGAATGTCCACATAGAGAGCATACGGGCCTGGGCTGGGCCTGCTCTGGGGCCCTGGGCTGTAATTCAGGACTCACCCTCCCACAGCACCAGCCCCACCCTCCCCTGTACGCACCCAACTTGCATATCAGGTGGACGGTGCCGTTGTTACTGCAGTGAGATGGGTCCAAGTTCACCAAGAACTTAGGGTCTAATCTGGCCACCTCCCCCTGCAGCACATTAGGGATGCTCTGCCGCTCATCATCTTCAAACCTACGCTTCCGAGTACACACCACCGGGGCCCTGGAGGAGACCACTATGGTCACCACACCGGACTAGGCTGTGGCCCATGGCCCACACTGCCCACCACCCACTTCAAGGCTGAACCCTGGGATGTACGTACGTGATGGGTGGGCCGTGGATGGCTGTCATGGCCGGCACAAATGTGCGGTACAGGGAGTGGTTAAAGACGGGTGAGCGGATATTGGCCAGGACGGCATCCAGGAGCGGCTGGCACAGGTACTGCTGCTTGGTTGGTGGCACCGGGGGCGGTGGGGGTGTGGGCTGGGACAGGATGGGGAGCGGGGAGGTCAGCAGCCCACTCTCGGGGAGGCTTTCCAAACCCGAGGTCCTCATCCTCACAGCCAGATTTCCACGGCTTCCCCACAACCTCTGCCCCCCGAGAGACAAATACAGCTGATCTTGGATGCATTCTCCTGCCTTCTGCAGCCTTGACCTTCCCCAGAGTCCCCTTCCCCCAGGGCTTGGCCTTGGGGGCTAGGCAGAGCTGGGTAGAGGCCTGATGGTGGAGATGGGTATACAAGAAAGCCCACGAGCCTGGGGGCTACAGAAAGCACCCCAAGACCACAGCCACAGGGCGACTTCTCCCATGTTCCCACATATGCTCTCCTTCCGCATAGCAGACTTGACCTGGAGGAAGACTCCTGGGCAAGGTCCCCAGGCTGAGCAGCATGGCCCCTCTGCCCACTTCTGATTGTGAAGGCTTCTCTCAGCTTGTGGTTCTGAGTTCTCCCTACAGCTGCCTGTGGCCCTTTGAACACCACCAGGCCATGGTGCCCCACTCACCACTGCCATGTCATTTTTGAGCTTCTCCAGGGCAATCTCACACTTCTGGAGTGTTTTCAGGGGGCACCTATGGGGAGAGGGATGTGACTGATCCTGTGCACTCAAAGATGAGGCGTCAATGGCTCTTGAGTACTCATCCCAACCGCTCCCTGCCTAGCTTGTCCTAGTATGGATGGAATCAGCCATGGCCATCAGAATCCCCCACAGGAGCCCCAGCCATTGATCAGCTATTCCTAGACCCAGAGTATAAGGCAAGATGGTCCCACACTCAAGAGCTGTCTAGTCCTGCTGGTTAGAATAGGGCATAAACGTGATGGCTCAGGGGGAGAGACAGAGGCCACGCCCCTGTTCCCCAGCCCTATAATCCCAAAGAGGGATCAATCCTAGAGGGCTTGAGGGCCGCCCAGCTCCAACAGGCCTAGTTCTGCAGTTTCTATCATTTTTTCCCAGTAAATAGAACAGAGAGGATCTTCTAGAAGGGAGCACAGCCTAAACTGACGCAGAAATAGGGACAGAACCCAAAGGCCAGTCCAAGAGAACAGTTCTGCAGAGCTGGCCAGTCGCTGGTGTTCAGAGCAGCGCAGCTGGTAGGTGAGGGCAGGGTGTGTGTCCGTGCTGTGAACCTGGGGCTCCAGTGCCTTCTCAAGGAGTCATCTCATTTCATTTCCACAGCCAACCCGGGTAAGCCACAGCCACTCCTTTTGCAGCAGGTAACTGAGATGCAGTCACTTACCAAACGCCACTGGCCAAGTCAGGGGTAGGGCAGAGGCTGGGTGTGGCAAAGGCAGGGGGCCAGGGGCTTGGAGGCACCTGTCAAGGCCCGAGGCCCCTTCTCTAAACTCTGTATCACCACCAAACGCCCATCCAAGGCTGGGTTAACCAAGCCGCCAGACACGGGCAGAGCACCGTCCCTCCCCCAGGAGCCAGGGGCAAAACTTACCGCTTAGAGGGATCTGTCAGGATGTCCAGAAGGCTCTTCATCTTACTCAGATCCTTTTTTCTGTCTGGGACAGAGAGGGGCCTCTAAGACACGTGCCTGGGGTACTTGTACCCCTCCCCCCTCTGCTGCACCCCTGCCCTGGCCCAGCCGCACCTTCGTTCTTATCAATCTTGTTGATCATACGGCGCAGGGGCTCGATGTACTTGGACAGCTGCTTCAGCTTGTCCAGGTACTGCTGCTCCTCGGCCTGGCTGGAGCCAGCTGGGCTCATGACCGAGCTTGGATTCACTGCAGAACACGTGGTGAACACGGCTTCAGCCCACAAGGCCAGGCTCTCTGCAAACCCTCAGGGTGGGGGATCTAGGGCTCCCTCACCCCATTATAAGCCGAGGCCACCAGAGGGCAAGGGGCGAACCTCAGCACCTCGACCCACAGGGCTGTGTGTGTGGGTTACACAATTGGCTCTGGTCCTTGGATCACACCCACCCCAGGCCCGACTCACCAGGGGTGTTTAAAGGTCCTGGAGAGGGAACGCTGAAGTTCTGCGGGGTGCGAGCCGTCACTGGACTCTGGGAGGGCTGTGGTGAGGGGCTGGGCAGGAAGCTACTGGGGGAAGGGGCAGGGCCAGAGCTGCAGCAAAGCAAAAACAGGCGCACCTGTGAGCTGGGGCACGAGGCGGGGCCCACCCTGGGAGCCAGGCGGGGAGGGCCACCCCGGCCAGGCCTACCTGACGTTGGAGTTGGGCTGCGAGCTGGGCTGGCCAGGTTGCGGGGACGGCTGGGGGGGAGGGGGCATCGACTGCGGGGTCTGCACCTGCTGGCCCGGCGATGGTGAGGACAGCATGGTGAGGCTGCTCTGGCTGACCTGGAAGTGGAGGGGGCTCAGCCTGCTCGCCTGCCACACACTCTCACTCCTGCTGCGCCCTTGCTCCCTCCCCCCACCCCAGGCCCTCGGACTCCATCTGCACAAACAAGACCCTTTCCCTCTCGGCCTCACCCACACACCCTCCTTCAGACGCCCTACCCTGTGAATACAAACAGAGCACAGCTTCCCACCCTGAGGATGGACACGAGTCCACGATAACTGAGGCGCTGGCCAAAAGGCCAGGCTGGGTAGCCCTTGCTCCTTGGCAGGGAGACCATAAAGTCTACTGGCTTCTAAGCTGGGACAGGACATTCCTATGTGTCTGCCTCACAGGTGTGGGAGCCAGAGAAGCCTGGGGCCTCGGATGGTGCCGCCCAGCCTCCCTAGCCTGTGGCGCTCTCATCTGTGCCCCTGTGAGGAACGCGCTCTGTGACAGATGGGACCGCCTTCCTACCTGCTTCCACGAGCCCCCTCAGCCATCAGGCCACAGTGGGAGGATGTGTCTCAGGTTTAATGGGAGCAAAGCGGCCCCATTGTCAGCCCTTGTCAGCGCACGAAGCCTGAGGATCCTCAGTCTGGAGGCTGAGTGAGCCTCACAGAGAGCTGCCTCGCCCAGGATGTGGTGATGGTAGCATAAAGGCCCGGCCAGGCCTAATCCAAACGCCCTGCCAGTTTCAGAGCTTCAAGGGTCGGCGGTGGTGGCTTCTCCCACTCTAGTCAGGCTCCTGAGCATCCCCTCAGAGCCTGCTTCCTGAAGCCCAGCCCACCACCCCCACCCCCAACTCTTGGACCATCCAGTTCTGCAGATGAACTCTGAACACTTCTCCCAGGGCACCCCAGACACTGGTGCCATCTGGGGCCACCGCTCCATGGCTCCCTCCCACATACTCCTCTGCCATAGTGCTAGGGGGACTGGGTTAGGATCACTCTGGGGGTTGCTAGTCTCTTGGTCCTTGAGTCAGGGAATAAAAAAAAGTATCTGGAAGAACCCAGATCTCACCAGGAAAACAGGATGCCCGCCCATTCTCCTGGCTGGGCAAGGGGCCCTGGCCCTTCTCCCAGTATTCCAGAGGAAGCCCTTAGAGTGAAACATTGTCCCCCTCCCACGGAGGGTGCAGGCCAGAGAAGCTACATGGGACGCTGGCATGGTGGGGGGCATGGAGGCTACATTATCACACTTCTAACACAGTGGGGTCAGAGCGGTGCCAAACCCAAGCCGCTGGCCCACCGGCATGTCAGCAAACAGAATGAGCTGTCCCACCACCTGTGACTAGGCCCTAGGCCCGGGAGCAAAGGGACAGGAACACACAAGCTCAGGCCTCCAGCTGCTGGGTCCAGCTGCTCTGCCAAGTGAAGCAAAATGGTCCTAGGTGATTCACACTGATGTCAGCAAGGTCAGAAACGGGGCCTAGGGCAGCTTTGTGTGCTGAGCTGAACTAAGTGCAGCAGATTTCTCCCAGGCAGAACTTGCCTTCACAGTGCTGGGATACACTGAATCCCAGGGCAGGCCGCATGCCCTCCATCCCCCCGGCACTGGAAAATAGGCTCTAGAATCCACTCAGGTACGAACAAACTCCTAGGATTAGGAAGGTGAACAGGCCATCTTGGAAGAGCCCATGTAGAGAAGCGGATGGTGCCAAGAGGAAGCAGCACAGGCCCTGGGACCCCACATCCTGGGCCCGGTCTGCTAGGTATGGGAACTCTCCTTAGCTTCTGCTCTAGCACATGTCCCTTCCAGAAGGTGTTTGGCTCCATTCTTCAGTCTAAAGCTGGTGCTTCTCTGAAGGGAAATGAGACATCTGCAGGGTGTCACGGCCGGCACAAAGCCACTGCAATGCAAAGGCCACTGTCCAGTTCACTTCCCACCTAAATGTATGAAGCTGTATTTAAAAATTTTTTTAATGTTTATTTTTGAGAGAGAGACCGAGCGTGAGCGGGGAGTGGCAGAGAGAGGGAGACACAGACATCTTAGCAGGCTCCAGGCTGAGCTGTCAGCACAGAGCTACACACGGGGCTCGAACCCACGAGCCGTGAGAACATGACCTAAGCTGAAGTCGAATGCCCAACTGAGCCACTCAGACGCCCCTGAAGCTGTATTTTAAAAGGCACCTGGGCGGCTCAGTCGGTTAAGCATTCAACTTTGGCTCAGGTCATAATCTCATGGTTCATAAGGTTGTGCCCTGCAATGGTGTCTCTGCTGTCAGTACAGAGCCCATTTCAGATCCTGTCTCTTTCTCTCTCTGCTCCTCCCCCATTCGTGCTCATGCACCCTCTCTCTCAAAAAGAAATAAAACATTTAAAGAAAAGTAGGGGTGCCTGAGTAGCTCAATCAGTTAAGCGTCCAACTGTGGTTCAGGTCATGATCTCACAGTTTGTGGGTTTGAGCCCTGCGTCAGGCTCTGTGCTCGGAACCTGCTTCGGATTCGTGTCTCATTCTCTCTCTGCCCCTCCCCTGCTTGTGCTCTCTCTCTCAAAAATAAACAGTTTTCAAAAATTATATAAAGAAATCAAAGGCACTGTCAGCACTCAGACCATGGGGCAAAAGGGCACACTTTCCCCACACCCTTTGCTTCTGGGCTCCATGGAGCCACTGACTGCACACAGCTCCCCTAGGCATTATGGTCCACATGGCACAGGGAACAGAGGCCTGCCCAGGCCCGGGGCACAAGCTCAGTGCTTCTGCATCCTCCCCTGAGCCTGCCTTATATCCAGCTTCAGGCTCCCCACGGCCACTCTCCAGGCTGCCACAGGAAACCCCTAGGTTCCCAATATCCAATCCAGATCTCTTTGCATCTGACAACTCCCATGCAAAAATGCCCAATTCAGTTGGCAGCAAACATATGCCCCTTCCTAAGCCTTTAGGATCCCCTTCCAGAACGCCCAAGGCTCCTAGGCCTCCTAAATCCCAAGATTCTACAGACGCATCCCGGATGAGGGGCAGCTATGCAAAGGCCTCTGTTAAGAAATGGCCTAGGAAGGCGCCTGGGTGGCTTAGTTGGATAAGCATCTGACTTCAGTCAGGTCATGATCTCACGTTCTGTAAGTTCGAGCGCCACATTGGGCTCTGTGCAGACAGAGCCTGGAGCCTCCTTCGGATTCTGTGTCTCCTCTCTCTGCCTCTTCTCAACTCATGCTCTGTCTCTCTCTGCTTCTCAAAAATGAATAAATGTTTAAAAATTTTAAAAAAAGAAAGAAAGAAAAGAAAAGACACTTGCTTGTGGCCTAGCAAGGTGACAAATGAGATAGGATCCCCTCCCCCCAAGTCTTCAGGTTTATATCCGGTCTAGCCAGCTTCTGGGGCAGAGGGGAGCAAGATGGCTGTGCCCTATTAGTGACATATCAAGTCCTCCAGAAGGGAGAACTGGTGACCCAGCTCTGCATTTTCCCTCACTGGGCATGTTCTTCTGCAAGAGGCACAAGTATGTCTGTCGCAGGAGCTAGTACACGCCACGGGACACTAGTGCTATACTCCTAGGGGAGGGAGCTCTGAGTGCCTGCCTGCTGTCACCTGCATGTCACATATGGAAAGTGGGAGTTCAGAGGGAAGTGACTTGCTCAAGGTCACAGGGCTAGTGGAGGAGTACAGGCATCTCAGTAACATCTACTTTCCTAGGGAGCAAGGACAAGTGTCTGGGAAGAGACCCTGCACAATGCTCCAAAGGAGTAGGAGGGGAAGGCAGGGTTCAAGCAGAGGGGACACAGCCAGAGCACAGGGGGGCAGCAGGGCCAGGCTGTGGGCTGCAGGGCAGAAAGGCAGGTTTGGGGAGCTGTGTGCTATGACATAATCTCAGGAGAGGCTGGTGGCACCATATACTCTAACCCTCCTGGGACCACCCGTGCCCCCCAGACATCCCTGGAACTGCCCCATACTCCTGGCCCCTGTACATGACATGTCCCCAGGAGTCACTCTCAGGGCAAAGAGGAATATGGACCCCACTATGGCGCCACCTGCTTACACTGCCAGGGACCCCCTGCACCCCTTGGACTCCTGTACTGGGCACGGCGCGACCAGCATGTGTCCGGCACAGGATCCAGCTTTGTCATGGTTGTCAGGGTCATGAAGCGTTCCCCTACAATATGAAGATGCAGTTATGGGACACAGTGCAGGATCGGCAGGCAAGGAAGAGGCTGAGATGAGAACTCGTCTCCTGAAGGGCTGACAGAACAGACGTTCTATTCTGCCTGTTTTCCTGAACCCAATTTGTTGCTGCAAGGAAAGAATAAACCAGACAGGCACTGTGGGTGCTGAAGCACAGTGTGTCAAGGTGGCTGCCGAGGGCTCAGTTGGGGTGCCTGTTGGATGGCAGGGGTGGCTTCTGGCTACACTGTAATGATGCACTTCTGGAATGAACTAGCTTCTCTCAGGAAGGACCGGACTAGAAGGACACAGACGCAACAGCAGCAGCATGCCGATGCTGGAGCCAGGTCTGTGGCGGGGAAAATGCCTACGGTGTGCCTGCCACTGCTGCAGGGGTGGAAGGAGGCTGGGGGGTGGGTCTGGGCCTGCAAGCCAGGACCCTGCAGAGAGGCCAGGGCGGGAAGAGGGAAGCTGCAGAGCCTAGGCCGAGGGTTTAATCTGAGCATCTTGGGCCTGTTCTGAAGGTGGAAGTGGCTCCTCCAGCCTTGGGCACTGCTGCAGGGGCAGGAGCGGACACTTAGCCACTGCTGAACCACTGCAGAGGGGGTGACTCTGGGGGTTCTCCTAAATGCGTGAACTGAGAGCCGCTGCAGTGAGAACAAACAAGTCCATATAGAGAAGTAGTTCAAGGCCTGGCACGTACCACATACTCAAAATGTGAAGGATTTTTATTGGTCTTATAAAAATTAGCCCTGCACGTTGATGCCAAGATCACTTCCCCACATCCAACAACCCAACCTGTCAACCCAACGGAGACTGAGTCACAGGCTGTGGGAAAGAAAAACAAGCAGCTCAAGGTCACAGAGCTGAGAATCAAAGGAACCAGGTGGGGGAGACTCACTAGTGGCATGTGAGCAGGTAA